ATGTGGCAACTACGTGGCAACTACCACTGCCAGGCCCTTGTAGTATATGTGGCAACCACCGCTGCCAGGCCCTGGTAGCATATGTGGCAACTACCACTGCCAGGCCCTGGTAGTATAAGTGGCAAAAACCACTGCCAGGCTATGGTAGTATATGTGGCAACTGTCGCTGCCAGGCCCTGGTAGTATATGTGGCAACTACCACTGCCAGGCCCTGGTTGTATATGTGGCAACTGTCGCTGCCAGGCCCTGGTAGTATATGTGGCAACTACCACTGCCAGGCCCTGGTAGTATATGTGGCAACTGCCGCTGCCAGGCCCTGGTAGCATATGTGGCAACTGTCGCTGTCAGGCCCTGGTAGCATATGTGGCAACTACCACTGCCAGGCCCTGGTAGCATATGTGGCAACTGTCGCTGCCAGGCCCTGGTAGTATATGTGGCAACTACCACTGCCAGGCCCTGGTAGCATATGTGGCAACTACCACTGCCAGGCCCTGGTAGCATATTTGGCAACTACGTGGCAACTGCCACTGCCAGGCCCTTGTAGTATATGTGGCAACTACCGCTGCCAGGCCCTGGTAGCATATGTGGCAACTACCACTGCCAGGCCCTGGTAGTACATGTGGCAACTACCACTGCCAGGCCCTGGTAGTATATGTGGCAACTACCAATGCCAGACCATGGTAGCATATGTGGCAACTGCCGCTGCCAGGCCCTGGTAGTATATGTGGCAACTACCACTGCCAGGCCCTGGTAGCATATGTGGCAACTACGTGGCAACTACCACTGCCAGGCCCTTGTAGTATATGTGGCAACCACCGCTGCCAGGCCCTGGTAGCATAAGTGGCAACTACCACTGCCAGGCTATGGTAGTATATGTGGCAACTACCACTGCCAGGCCCTGGTAGTATGTGTGGCAACTACCACTGCCAGGCCCTGGTAGTATATGTGGCAACTGCCCCTGCCAGGCCCTGGTAGTATATGTGGCAACTACCACTGCCAGGCCCTGGTAGCATATGTTGCAACTAAAGCTGTCAGACCCTGGTAGCATATGTGGCAACTATCGCTGCCAGGCCCTGGTAGTATATGTGGCATCTACCACTGCCAGGCCCTGGTTGTATATGTGGCATCTACCACTGCCAGGCCCTGGTAGTAAATGTGGCAACTACCGCTGCCAGGCCCTGGTAGTATATGTGGCAACTGTCGCTGCCAGGACCCTGTGGCATATGTGGCAACTACCACTGCCAGGCCCTGGTAGCAAATGTGGCAACTACCGCTGTCAGACCCTGGTAGTATATGTGGCAACTACCACTGCCAGGCCCTGGTAGTATATGTGGCAACTACCACTGCCAGGCCCTGGTAGTATATGTGGCAACTGTCGCTGCCAGGCCCTAGTAGCATATGTTGCAACTACCACTGCCAGGCCCTGGTAGTATATGTGGCAACTACCACTGCCAGGCCCTGGTAGTATATGTGGCAACTGTCGCTGCCAGGCCCTAGTAGCATATGTGGCAACTACCACTGCCAGGCCCTGGTAGCATATGTGGCAACTACCACTGCCAGGCCCTGGTAGTATATGTGGCAACTGTTGCTGCCAGGCCCTGGTAGTATATGTGGCAACTACCACTGCCAGGCCCCTGTAGCATATGCGGCAACTGTCGCTGCCAGGCCCTGGTAGTATATGTGGCAACTACCACTGCCAGGCCCTGGTAGTATATGTGGCAACTACCACTGCCAGGCCCTGGTAGTATATGTGGCAACTACCACTGCCAGGCCCTGGTAGTATATGTGGCAACTACCACTGCCAGGCCCTAGTAGCATATGTGACAACTACCACTGCCAGGCCCTGGTAGTATATGTGGCAACAACCACTGCCAGCCCCTAGTAGCATATGTGACAACTGTCACTGCCAGGCCCTGGTAGTATATGTGGCAACTACCACTGCCAGGCCCTAGTAGCATATGTGGCAACTGTCGCTGCCAGGCCCCTGTGGCATATGTGGCAACTACCACTGCCAGGCCCTGGTAGTATATGTGGCAACTACCGCTGCCAGGCCCTGGTAGCATATGTGGCAACTACCACTGCCAGGCCCTGGTAGTATAAGTGGCAACTACCACTGCCAGGCTATGGTAGTATATGTGGCAACTACCACTGCCAGGCCCTGGTAGTATGTGTGGCAACTACCACTGTCAGGCCCTGGTAGTATATGTGGCAACTGCCGCTGCCAGGCCCTGGTAGTATATGTGGCAACTACCACTGCCAGGCCCTGGTAGCATATGTTGCAACTAAAGCTGTCAGACCCTGGTAGCATATGTGGCAACTATCGCTGCCAGGCCCTGGTAGTATATGTGGCATCTACCACTGCCAGGCCCTGGTGGTATATGTGGCATCTACCACTGCCAGGCCCTGGAAGTAAATGTGGCGACTACCGCTGCCAGGCCCTGGTAGTATATGTGGCAACTGTCGCTGCCAGGACCCTGTGGCATATGTGGCAACTACCACTGCCAGGCCCTGGTAGCAAATGTGGCAACTACCGCTGTCAGACCCTGGTAGCATATGTGGCAACTACCACTGCCAGGCCCTGGTAGTATATGTGGCAACTACCACTGCCAGGCCCTGGTAGTATATGTGGCAACTGTCGCTGCCAGGCCCTAGTAGCATATGTTGCAACTACCACTGCCAGGCCCTGGTAGTATATGTGGCAACTACCACTGCCAGGCCCTGGTAGTATATGTGGCAACTGTCGCTGCCAGGCCCTAGTAGCATATGTGGCAACTACCACTGCCAGGCCCTGGTAGCATATGTGGCAACTACCACTGCCAGGCCCTGGTAGTATATGTGGCAACTGTTGCTGCCAGGCCCTGGTAGTATATGTGGCAACTACCACTGCCAGGCCCCTGTAGCATATGCGGCAACTGTCGCTGCCAGGCCCTGGTAGTATATGTGGCAACTACCACTGCCAGGCCCTGGTAGTATATGTGGCAACTACCACTGCCAGGCCCTGGTAGTATATGTGGCAACTACCACTGCCAGGCCCTGGTAGTATATGTGGCAACTACCACTGCCAGGCCCTAGTAGCATATGTGACAACTACCACTGCCAGGCCCTGGTAGTATATGTGGCAACAACCACTGCCAGCCCCTAGTAGCATATGTGACAACTGTCACTGCCAGGCCCTGGTAGTATATGTGGCAACTACCACTGCCAGGCCCTGTAGCATATGTGGCAACTGTCGCTGCCAGGCCCCTGTGGCATATGTGGCAACTACCACTGCCAGGCCCTGGTAGTATATGTGGCAACTACCGCTGCCAGGCCCTGGTAGCATATGTGGCAACTACCACTGCCAGGCCCTGGTAGTATAAGTGGCAACTACCACTGCCAGGCTATGGTAGTATATGTGGCAACTACCACTGCCAGGCCCTGGTAGTATGTGTGGCAACTACCACTGCCAGGCCCTGGTAGTATATGTGGCAACTGCCGCTGCCAGGCCCTGGTAGTATATGTGGCAACTACCACTGCCAGGCCCTGGTAGCATATGTTGCAACTAAAGCTGTCAGACCCTGGTAGCATATGTGGCAACTATCGCTGCCAGGCCCTGGTAGTATATGTGGCATCTACCACTGCCAGGCCCTGGTGGTATATGTGGCATCTACCACTGCCAGGCCCTGGAAGTAAATGTGGCGACTACCGCTGCCAGGCCCTGGTAGTATATGTGGCAACTGTCGCTGCCAGGACCCTGTGGCATATGTGGCAACTACCACTGCCAGGCCCTGGTAGCAAATGTGGCAACTACCGCTGTCAGACCCTGGTAGCATATGTGGCAACTACCACTGCCAGGCCCTGGTAGTATATGTGGCAACTACCACTGCCAGGCCCTGGTGGCATATGTGGCAACTGTCGCTGCCAGGCCCTAGTAGCATATGTTGCAACTACCACTGCCAGGCCCTGGTAGTATATGTGGCAACTACCACTGCCAGGCCCTGGTAGTATATGTGGCAACTGTCGCTGCCAGGCCCTAGTAGCATATGTGGCAACTACCACTGCCAGGCCCTGGTAGCATATGTGGCAACTACCACTGCCAGGCCCTGGTAGTATATGTGGCAACTGTTGCTGCCAGGCCCTGGTAGTATATGTGGCAACTACCACTGCCAGGCCCCTGTAGCATATGTGGCAACTGTCGCTGCCAGGCCCTGGTAGTATATGTGGCAACTACCACTGCCAGGCCCTGGTAGTATATGTGGCAACTACCACTGCCAGGCCCTGGTAGTATATGTGGCAACTACCACTGCCAGGCCCTGGGAGTATATGTGGCAACTACCACTGCCAGGCCCTTGTAGCATATGTGACAACTACCACTGCCAGGCCCTGGTAGTATATGTGGCAACTACCACTGCCAGGCCCTAGTAGCATATGTGACAACTGTCACTGCCAGGCCCTGGTAGTATATGTGGCAACTACCACTGCCAGGCCCTAGTAGCATATGTGGCAACTGTCGCTGCCAGGCCCCTGTGGCATATGTGGCAACTACCACTGCCAGGCCCTGGTAGCATATGTGGCAACTAAAGCTGTCAGACCCTGGTAGCATATGTGGCAACTACCACTGCCAGGCCCTGGTTGTATATGTGGCAACTACCACTGCCAGGCCCTGATAGCATGTCTGGCAACTACCTCTGCCAGACCGGGGTAGCATATGTGGCAACTACCGCTGCATGGCAACAACAAGTGGCAGTGATGGTTGCTGAAAATTAGCCATGCTTTCCTTGCTGGAAACAGTGAAAGACCCAGGTCCCACTGAGAAGCAGGTAACTCTGCCTTCTAGCTGTAGAGGATGCATAGAGTAGATGATGGAGTTGAAAATGTAGATAGCAGCCCAGTGTGTGTGCTAATGGACAGGACATGGCACAAGTGTAAGTTAGTTATAATACTACAATTGGTATACATTTGTATATTTGTCCAGAAAAGTCATTAGGAGCTAGAACTTAATCTAATTATATTTTTTTCAGAAATTTCTCATTGTGCGCCAACCAACATCGAGGAAGTCAAGTCGTTTGTCTGGGTCCCACAGCATACTTTCTGTGAGATGGAAACCGACCTGAAGAAGCTCTAAACCTCCTCATCCACTACCTGCAGATGACACATTACAACCAACACAGAGGAAGTGAAAATGTTTGTCTGGGTCCCATAACATACTTCCCGTGAGATGAACACGACCACACGAATCTTCAAACCTCCTCATCCACTACCTGCAGACGACACAGTACAACAAACAAAGCAGTTTAATTTTGGCTGAAATATTGCTGAAAGAGCCATAAGCCCTTTCATACTCACCGATAATGATACTTTTATGTCAGGTTTAAAAATTCCATGTATTACAGTGCCAATGGCATGGTTGGAATCATGATGGCACGTTTTATGATTTCACTACAAGCACACTTAAAAATTTGTTTATTGTTTATTTGTTTATCATGCGAAGACATTTATTAATGTACTTTCACACAAGTACACTGGACAAACACATGGAAATTGATAAACATATGAACACGTTAATGAACAGAATGTCGAATAAACTTCTCTCTCAAAAGTACTGTTGTCTCTCCTAACAGGTTTGTTGTCTCTCCCAACAGTTCTGATTCTCTCCCAACAGTTCTGTTTCTCTCCCAACAGTTCTGTTGTCCCTCTGAACAGTTCTGTTGTCCCTCTGAACAGTTCTGTTGTCTCTCTCAACAGTTCTGTGCCTCTCAAAAGTTCTGTTGTCCCTCTCAAAAGTTCTGTTGTCTCTCTCAACAGTTCTTTTGTCCCTCTCAAAAGTTCTGTTGTCTCTCTCAACAGTTCTGTTGTCCCCTCTCAAAAGTTCTGTTGTCTCTCTCAAAAGTTCTGTTGTCTCTCTCAACAGTTCTGTTGTCCCTCTCAAAAGTTCTGTTGTCCCTCTCAACAGTTCTGTTGTCTCTCTCAACAGTTCTGTTGTCCCTTTCAAAAGTTCTGTTGTCCCTCTCAAAAGTTCTGTTGTCCCTCACAGCAGTTCTGTTGTCTCTCTCAACAGTTCTGTTGTCCCTCTCAAAAGTTCAGTTATCTCTCAACAGTTAGGTTGTCTCTCAACAGTTTGGTTGTCTGTCCTAACAGTTCTGTTGTCTCTCTCAACAGTTCTGTTGTCCCTCTCAAAAGTTCAGTTGTCTCTCTCAACAGTTCTATTGTCTTTCTCAACAGTTCAGTTATCTCTCAACAGTTAGGTTGTCTCTCAACAGTTTGGTTGTCTGTCCCAACAGTTCTGTTGTCCCTCTGAACAGTTCTGTTGTCCCTCTCAACAGTTCTTTTGTCTCTCTCAACAGTTCTGTCCCTCTCAAAAGTTCGGTTGTCCCTCTCAAAAGTTCTGTTGTCTCTCTCAACAGTTCTTTTGTCCCTCTCAAAAGTTCTGTTGTCTCTCTCAACAGTTCTGTTGTCCCTCTCAAAAGTTCGGTTGTCCCTCTCAACAGTTCTGTTGTCCCTCTCAAAAGTTCTGTTGTCCCTCTCAAAAGTTCTGTTGTCTCTCTCAACAGTTCTGTTGTCCCTCTCAAAAGTTCTGTTGTCCCTCTCAACAGTTCTGTTGTCCCTCTCAAAAGTTCTGTTGTCTCTCTCAACAGTTCCGTTGTCCCTCTCAAAAGTTCTGTTGTCCCTACCAAAAGTTCTGTTGTCTCTCTCAACAGTTCTGTTGTCCCCTCTCAAAAGTTCTGTTGTCTCTCTCAAAAGTTCTGTTGTCTCTCTCAACAGTTCTGTTGTCCCTCTCAACAGTTCTGTTGTCCCTCTCAAAAGTTCTGTTGTCCCTCTCAACAGTTCTGTTGTCCCTCTCAAAAGTTCTGTTGTCCCTCTCAACAGTTCTGTTGTCCCTCTCAAAAGTTCTGTTGTCCCTACCAAAAGTTCTGTTGTCCCTCTCAAAAGTTCTGTTGTCTCTCTCAACAGTTCTGTTGTCCCCTCTCAAAAAGTCTGTTGTCCCTCTCAAAAGTTCTGTTGTCTCTCTCAACAGTTCTGTTGTCCCTTTCAAAAGTTCTGTTGTCCCTCTCAAAAGTTCTGTTGTCCCTCACAGCAGTTCTGTTGTCTCTCTCAACAGTTCTGTTGTCCCTCTCAAAAGTTCAGTTATCTCTCAACAGTTAGGTTGTCTCTCAACAGTTCTGTTGTCTCTCCTAACAGTTATGTTGTCATTTGGATTGAAATTGATTTTTTCGATTTATGAGCATAAAATGCAAGAAGAGATTTTAGTCAACTCCTCACACATTTCGAAGGAATATATATATTTTGGAAAGCCAAAACATATTTTAGGCTACATAACTTAAGGCATGGGCCGTAAGAAAATGATGTTAGGTTCCTCCATTGTGATACCTGTTTTTTGTGTGCCTGGTACTGCCTATTGTAGTATGGATTTGTTATGCCAGTGTTACGTACATGTCTTTCATAGCTTGTGGAGTATTGTAATTTTAGCGCCTTTTGATGGCCAGAGACTTGTTACCTGTGTCAATGACCTTGTGTTACCTGTGTCATTGTCTTTTTGTTTTTATGGCATTTATTGTGCAACATTGCAAAAGCTCTACTCATTCCAGCTGTGTCTGTTTTGTGCATCAGTAGCTTCTATGGACTTTGTAAATGCAGTTAGAATTTCGTGTTTGTATACGTTATCTTTGTCCACAATCAGCATTCTTCCCCTAATGCTTCCAACATAATGTGAGGGGCGGTCGGATAGCCTAGTGGTTAAAGCGTTCGCTCGTCAAGCCGAAGACCCGGGTTCGATTCCCGACATGGGTACAATGTGTGAAGCCCATTTCTGGTGTCCCCCGCCGTGATATTGCTGGAATATTGCTAAAAGCCGCGTAAAACTATACTCACTCACTCACTCACTCCAACATAATGTTACTGCTTTTTCATCTCCTCATATTGAATGCTTTTTGACTTTCTAAATTCAGGAGTATGAAAGACGTAAATTCAACAGAATCTCATTTTCCTTACAGACCTCTTTTGCTTTGGACCATAATTTTCAAACAAACACATATATCCCATAGCAATCAAATTTATTGTTTGAGTTGAATGTGCTATAGATTTCACTGTCAATGTGGATTTCAGGAGAAAGTCATTAATAGTTCCCATGCATAAGTTTGGTTATTGTGGGCATATTTCATAACCATAATCAAATAATCTACCTCTTTTATCATTCGGGGGCAAGGGTGGCCTAGTCGTCTAAGGCGCCGTGATTCGCTGTGCAGAGTTGCATCCCTTGGGCACGCCAGAAACCTATGATTGTGGGTTCGAATCCCGGTTCGCCCCGATTATGTTTCTAGGTTTGTCAGCACCATACCCGTGCTCATGGGTTTCACCGAAGTGGTAAACGTCTGAGACCTGCATCACTTGGGGCTATCCTCCCACATTAAGCTGTCATGCCGTGATATAACTGGAATACTGTTAAAAGCGGCGTTAAACCCAACTCACTCACTCACTTTTATCATTCCTGTCTCCTTTTTGTAGATAATACGGAGATGTATAATATATGTATAACACAGATACAGTGATATTCTCAGCAGATTTCAAAGTAGTCTTGGAAAGAAAGTTTTGAACTATGACCGTGTTGCCGCTGGCTCTTTAAACTGCCAGTCCCAGTGGACAGGCAATTCCAAAAAAAACCTCCAATTTGGTGAGTACCAACTCAATAAATAAACATATCAAAATTGCCTGGTTATAATTCTTTCAACAGCATGTTCAATGCAGTGTATGTTCATGCTGGACAAATTCAATAAAATCATCTCTGAAGTAACTTAGATGTACACCTCATTCACACAAAGTTCAGTCATATTTTTCTCTCTTAATATTTCACTTTGGTTCAAGGCTAAGTCACTACAAATAGATATTTAAATTCAAAGTACAACGAAATGTTATTTCTTTGAATGAAAAATAGACAACAGGAAACACTGATGATGTAAAATAGACAAGCTGACTTCGTTTGAAAAATATACTTCATCGATTATCGGCGATGTTTTTGATTATTGGCGATGTTTTTGTTAACAACAATAATTTATAAGGTACTTTATTTGCCGGTCCTCAGGGACTGGCAGCCATATGGATTACCAGTTCAAACCTTATTTTACCATTAAAAAACTGATAATTACCAGTAAATGGGAATGCTTCTATGAAGAACAGCTAATGGTTGTTATTATGAAACCATTAACCTTATGTCATTGATAGAGTTAATAAATATCAAAATGTGTTTGTCATAACCATTGTTTGATTTGAAATGAAAGTGTAGAGTGTGAAGTAAAGGACTAAAATAATTATATGATTTATTCTCTGAAAGTACTGCCTTGCATTCCTGGGTCATGGGTGGCCAAGAAGTCGAATGATCTAGGTGGCCCAGTGGTCTAATGATCTGGGTGGCCCAGTGGTCTAATGATCTGGGTGACCCAGTGGTCTAATGATCTGGGTGCCCCATATGTCTAATGATTTGGGTGGCCCAGTGGTCTAATGATCGGGCTGGCCCAAAGGCCTAATGATCTGGGTGGCCCAGTGGTCTAATGATCGGGGTGGCCCAGTGGTCTAATGATCTGGGTGACCCAAAGGCCTAATGATCTGGGTGCCCCATATGTCTAATGATTTGGGTGGCCCAGTGGTCTAATGATCGGGGTGGCCCAGTGGTCTAATGATCTGGGTGGCCCAAAGGCCTAATGATCTGGGTGGCCCAGTGGTCTAATGATGTAATCATTGTGCAGAGTTACCTGCATTGGAGTTGCCAGGATCTGCTTATCTCAGTTCCTCCCCACTTATGATCCTTGGTTTGTCAGCACCATACGTGTGCTTGTGGGTGAATGTCTGTGGCCTGTGTCACTCTGGCCTTCCCTCCTATATTATTAAATTTAATACACTGTAACACACATGCTGTTCAAAGCTGTGTAAACCTAGCTCACTCCTCTCCTTACATCCCTGAGGAACCTAGAAGACCCAGGTTAGAATTGATCTTCAGCAACCCATGCTTGTCGTAAGAGGCGACTAACAGGATTGTGTGATCAGGCTCGCTGACTTGGTTGAGGCACGTCATCTTATCCCAGTTGTGTAGATCAATGGTATTGATGTCAGTCACTGGATTGTCTGATCCTGACTCGATTGTTTACAGACCGCCATCTTTCAGCTGGAATAGTGCTGAGTGCGGCGTTAAACAACAACAATCAAACGTCACTGTGGCAACAGTAGAAATTTCTTTGAGAAATATAATCATCAATTGTAACTTGGAAAGATCTCTTTTTAAAATAGCATGTTATATGTTTAATTTTACCTGTTTAGAAATATTTTTACCTCATTGAAGTGTACTTAGTGACTTCAGAAAATGTTTATTGTGGGGTTGCTTGATTGTTTTCTACCATTTTGCCTGTCCTAATATCAGTCTGAATACCCACAGTGGTACAGTGCGCAAAGCACAAGCTGGGTGGCCTTTGTTCTTGCCAAAATATTGTTCAATGCAATGTAAAACAGTGAAACGTGTTGATAATTTACATCTGAGAAAGTAGTTTCTGGTGTTGGGCGAGTTCTTGTGGAGAATGTTTCCTTAGACATGCACAGTACCATGTTAAGTCTGACACTACATGAAGAGTATGTTTTCGGATGCGTGAACTCAGCAGGAGTATGTGGTGTTGGGATCACTGACCTGATGTCAACTCCGGTCTGCATCACGTTTCCCCGCTACCTGACACACTGTGATATAACCCCACAGTTGTCGCTGAGAGAAACATTTCAATTCATATGTCATATCCTGTGAGCATGTTGTGACATGTACTGCATTTGTTCTCTATATATTGTTGACATATATTTGAATGTGATGTTTCAACATTATGGCTTGTTATTTGTTGTATGGACAGGGCTTGAGAATAGGACTGAGGACTACCATAACTTGAGTATCATTACCTTCACCAGTTCCTTCCATTGATATCACATGAGGCCTGCTACAGTCTGTCAGTGCCTCCTATAGCTTGAGCATGAGGCCTGCTACAATCTGTCAGTGCCTCCTATAGCTTTAGCATGAGGCCTGCTACAATCTGTCAGTGCCCCCTATAGCTTGAGCATGAGGCCTACTACAATCTGTCAGTGCCTCCTCCTATAGCTTTAGCATGGGGTCTACTACAATATGTCAGTGACTCCTATAGCTTTAGCATGGGGTCTACTACAATCTGTCAGAGCCTCCTCCTATAGCTTTAGCATGGGGCCTACTACAATCTGTCAGTGCCTCCTCCTATAGCTTTAGCATGGGGCCTACTACAATCTGTCAGTGCCTCCTATAGCTTTAGCATGGGGTCTACTACAATCTGTCAGTGCCTCCTCAAATAGGTGTAGCATGAGGCCTACTACAATCTGTCAGTGCCTCCTATAGCTTTAGCATGGGGTCTACTACAATCTGTCAGTGACTCCTATAGCTTTAGCATGGGGCCTACTACAATCTGTCAGTGACTCCTATAGCTTTAGCATGGGGCCTACTACAATCTGTCAGTGACTCCTATAGCTTTAGCATGGGGCCTACTACAATCTGTCAGTGCCTCTTGTAGCTTCAGCATGGGGTCTACTACAATCTGTCAGTGCCTCCTATAGCTTTAGCATGAGGCCTACTACAATCTGTCAGTGACTCCTATAGCTTTAGCATGAGGCCTACTACAATCTGTCAGTGCCTCTTGTAGCTTTAGCATGGGGTCTACTACAATCTGTCAGTGCCTCTTGTAGCTTTAGCATGAGGCCTACTACAATCTGTCAGTGCCTCCTGTAGCTTTAGCATGAGGCCTACTACAATCTGTCAGTGCCTCCTTTTTCTATTTGTCACCATGAAGTGCCTGAGGCACAGTGTAGTAAAGAACTGTAAGTAAGGATAAGATAAATGGGGAACAACTTCTTTTTTACAATTAGGAGCAATGCTTTGGTGTAGGTTCTGACACCGTTATCAAGCAAGTGATGTACCGAGTATGGTTGACAAGCATATATACAGTTATGAGGCAGTGTTTATGCAATCTACTGTATAACCACTGCCTCATACCTGAATGCTAAGTCACGTGACTCCATTGACTCGTGAAAAAGCATGCAGCTTTTTGCTTCAAAGCAGGGTATACAGGATTTATTCAGCCTCTCAGAAATTCATGTGCAGCCTGACTTGATTGTGGCAGGGTATAAGAGATTTATTACCCTGCTGGGAAATTTATTTCCCTCCAAGGCGGGATACCTAGTATTTTATCAAGATCACATGGACCAATAAGATCTCATCATTCTGACATGGAGGTATGATGTACAATGTGTCAGCCTATGTACCTTGAGCCAGTAGGTGAGTCTCAAACACAGGGTTCACCACAACATATACCCCGAGGTACTGGTTGAAAATGAATTTATCTTACAGGCATTATTTTAACCATTCGTCTAAAAGTCTCATTTAACTGCATTTGGTTAGTGTTCAGGTTTGACATAATATGCTTATACCATAGTATACACTCTGGTAAGAAGTTTGTAATTTTCCAACGGTCTATATGAAATTTGTACTTTATCTGTCAGCAGGGTACATGGGGAAAAATTGCCTTTCAGTTAACCAATCAGAAACAAGTATGATAATGCCAGGTAAAATAAAGAAACATTCATCAATGAAATAGGTGCAAGTTGTCATATTCACTGGGTGCCTGGACAATTTGATACAATAACCATCAATGTTGCACAATTGCAGCCGAACTATTGTTGATAGATTTTTTGGGTCACTTAAGTAGAATCTTTCAAACGGTATAAGCCAAATTCAAACCCTCTTTTTATGAAAATCACTATTTTCATATGAGATAATGGCTGGATATAGACAGTTTGAAAATAATAGTTTCAGATATTTTTTTCCATTAGAAAATTATTTTTTATGACAGATCTATGATGGCTATTTTAAATGATGTGTGAAAGCAGATGGTTGGCGATAAGAAGCTGGGATATGCATGTTTGATAAAAGTATGTGTTACAGATATTGACATTCTGTGTTGTTGCATATAGATGTCCATGTTTTATTGTTGTTAATAAAATGTATGCAGCTGTGTTTCTTCTGTTGTTAATTGTTGTTTGTTACAACTTTTAGGGGAAGAATATATTGTTTGTTTGTTGTTTAGCGCCACACAACAACATTCCAGCTATACGATGGATGTCTGTAAATAATCTGGACAAGACAATCCAGTGATTGACATAATGAGCATCGATCTACGCAATTTGGATACAATGACATGCATCAGCGAAGTCAGCGAGCCTGACCACCTGATCCCGTTAGTCGCCTCTTTTGACAAGCATAGTCGTCTTTTACCTCAAGCATGGGTTTCTGCAGACCTATTCTCTACCCTATCTTCAAGGGTCGGGGAGATTTAGCTGATAGGGAGCAGGTACCCACGATGGCAGCATTCCCTGATGGAGCGGGAGTATTGTTCATTTTATCAAACACTGGTTTGCACAGAACACATCACACTCCCTCTCTGACATAGGTCCGTGGACATGACCTGTCATTGTGCATGATTGTGAAATCAAGCACCATGTTGATACATTCCTCAGTTGTTGTAAGGATGCAGAATAGACATCAGAAGGAGAGACATGCTGATCATGGCTACATGGCTGATAGCATGTCATTGTACCCCCTATTGTCTGGATTGTTATTCCCTGCCCAAATAAAGCTTTGTAGGGGATATAGAAACAGGCTCTGTCCATCAAGAGCATAACTCATTAACTGTTTAATATGTCTTCATCAAACGTTGTCCACACAACAGGCATGCTGATAATCGGGACCTTTATCTTTTCAGGAATTTCTGAAATTTTCACTGTTTGTCTTTTCAAAATAACAATGTGGACGTAATTTCAAATTTGAGTAGGGATCAATTCAGGAGCATAACTCATAATTTGGAATTTCCTTTCTTTGAGAAACTTTGTATACATATCAGGCACGTGCTGAACTGTGCCTTTTATTACGCATATATTTTTGAAATTAGAATTGTTTTGGTTTTCCGAGGCAGCAAGCAAACATAAGATTAAAACGATGGTAGGGGTAATATCTGTAGCAATATTATAAACTGTTTCGCATTTCCTTTTGATACTTCGGACGCACATCAGGCAGGTACTGAACTGGTGCCTTTTGCTTTTTTCTAATTTGAGATTTTGCATTCTAAGGCAGTAAGTTAGACTAAGTTCATATGAAACTTTCTTATTGCAGAGCATAGCTCATGACCACTGTATCAATATGGCACTTGATGAAACTTGGGAAACACATACGATATCATTCATCATACAACCCTATGGAATTTCTGAGCAGAATAAATTCCTTATACCCCGTCAGGAAGAAAACATGCAGCACGTGGATTTCAGAGCTGGAGAATAACTCTCTTGCACCCCAATACGAAGCAAAAAGCTGCACAGTGTTTACGGATCAATGAAAGTCACGTGACACAACACAAGTTAACTTCAGCTCAATCGAACATATGTTTTCTTTCAAGTTTCAGTTTGCTTCAATTATTATTATAGCAGATTGAAACATGTCGGCAAAATAAATTCGTTGTTCATATCAGTATCACTCAGGGTATGTGATTTTATCCGGATCGTGGTATAAAAACTAACGCGGAAGGCATAAAGCCACATGTAACCCGAGTGATACTCCTACAACTTATAGTATCCCGCGCAAACCTTCATCCTTCACCAGTATCTCCGTGTCATGGGTTGGAATTCAACTTATGGCCTATGAACCCAAGTGAGTCGGAATTTTGTCCATGCTCTTCAGTTTCGCCAAATTGGTAAACGTCTACAACCTGGGTCATGTCGGGGTTTCCCCCAACAACAGACGAAAATTCTAGAAGTATCCCAAATATTGTACCATGTGTTGTTAACCTCAACTCACTCACTCACTCACTCGTTGTAGTAGGATGCAACTAAAGATGAAGTTGCCAGTATGGTGACCCTGCCGCCTTTGACCTGCCAGAATCCGATGATTCTGTGTTCGTGGCTCTAATATTTGAATCAATTTTGATTCTTGAATTTCCACAATATGCCAGTGCTGGTGGTTTTCACCAAAGTGGAAACCTCCATTTATCATTTTGTGTGGAGGAACAGCGTGCTGGACATCTTGAAAGAGACAGGAAACTATTTCGGGGACTGCTTCAAAACACACCATTTCTTCTTGAAAGTGGACGCAAACAATACAATTCTTTTCACTAGACATGTTCTTCCGAATGTCAGACCGCCTCCGTGGTCTTGTGGTAGAGCGTCCGCCCGGAGAGCGGAAGGTCCAGGGTTCGATCCCGGGCCGCGTCATACAAAAAGACGTTAAAAGATTGTACTTGTTGTTACCCTGTCTGGAGCTCGCCATTAAGGGGCTAAAACAAGGACTGGTCGGCTCGGAGTCAGTATACTGTGTCTGAGTGGGGTATTCATGTTAAACTGCGGCATGGTATCTCAGTGAGCTAGCACTATAAATCGGCATCAGTCCGGACTAGTACAAGCAGCCACACACACACATACACGTGCATGCACGTCGCTATATAAGTGCAATAATCTTGGACGCGACGTTAAACCCAATTTCACCTCACCACCTCTTCCGAATGTCCAACAATTAATTTGTTCGTGTTTAGGTAAAACCTGAAGACAAATGATTATTTTCCATTTGATTTTATTTGAAAAATAAACTCCCATGCCCCCTACGAATATCAAATGGTATGTCCCAAAACGTTCAGGACCTGCATCACTTGGTGTTTACTTCCATAGTAAGGTGACATGCTGTGGTATAACAGAAATTTCCATTGAATAATCTAGAGGCAAAATTCTATTACGTAATTTTTATTTTTTTTACATTCTCTCGCTGTTATCGGGATCATTTTTAATGCTACTGTGAGGTCTCCAGGTCAATGAGGTTTCACTGTGTATAACACTGAGGAAGTGGCCAGATAAAATAACTTTAGATAACGTATCCTTTAACTGAGGTCTGCTTTAATAATGTAAAGAGTGTGCATAAGACCAATTGCACACCTATAGCTGTGTCATGATAACTGTTAGAGTAGCATGAAGGCCGTCACATCATCAGTCAATGCCACCAATAGTTACAGCATGAAGCCTGTCACATCATCAGTCAATGCCACCAATAGTTACAGCATGAAGCCTGTCACATCATCAGTCAATGCCACCAATAGTTACAGCCTGAAGCCTGTCACATCATCAGTCAATGCCACCAACAGTTACAGCATGAAGCCTGTCACATCATCAGTCAATGCCACCAATAGTTACAGCATGAAGCCTGTCACATCATCAGTCAGTGCCACCTATAGTTACAGCATGAAGCCTGTCACATCATCAGTCAATGCCACCAATAGTTACAGCATGAAGCCTGTCACATCATCAGTCAATGCCACCAATAGTTACAGCATGAAGCCTGTCACATCATCAGTCAATGCCACCAACAGTTACAGCATGAAGCCTGTCACATCATCAGTCAATGCCACCAATAGTTACAGCATGAAGCCTGTCACATCATCAGTCAATGCCACCAATAGTTACAGCATGAAGCCTGTCACATCATCAGTCAGTGCCTCCTATAGTTACAGCATGAAGCCTGTCACATCATCAGTCAATGCCATCAATAGTTACAGCATGAAGACTGTCACATCATCAGTCAGTGCCATCAATAGTTACAGCATGAAGCCTGTCACATCATCAGTCAGTGCCTCCTATAGTTACAGCCTGAAGCCTGTCACATCATCAGTCAATGCTACCAATAGTTACAGCATGAAGCCTGTCACATCATCAGTCAATGCCACCAATAGTTACAGCATGAAGCCTGTCACATCATCAGTCAGTGCCTCCTATAGTTACAGCATGAAGCCTGTCACATCATCAGTCAGTGCCTCCTATAGTTACAGCATGAAGCCTGTCACAACATCAGTCAATGCCACCAATAGTTACAGCATGAAGCCTGTCACAACATCATTCACTGCCTCCTATTGTTACAGCCTGAAGCCTGTCACATCATCAGTCAGTGCCTCCTATAGTTACAGCCTGAAGCCTGTCACATCATCAGTCAGTGCCACCTATAGTTACAACATGAAGCCTGTCACATCATCAGTCAATGCCACCTATAGTTACAACATGAAGCCTGTCACATCATCAGTCAGTGCCACCTATAGTTACAGCATGAAGCCTGTCACATCATCAGTCAGTGCCTCCTATAGTTACAGCATGAAGCCTGTCACAACATCAGTCAATGCCACCAACAGTTACAGCATGAAGCCTGTCACAACATCAGTCAATGCCATCAATAGTTACAGCATGAAGCATGTCACAACATCATTCACTGCCTCCTATTGTTACAGCATGAAGCCTGTCACAACATCATTCACTGCCTCCTATTGTTACAGCATGAAGCCTGTCACATCATCAGTCAGTGCCTCCTATAGTTACAGCATGAAGCCTGTCAAATCATCAGTCAGTGCCATCAATAGTTACAGCATGAAGCCTGTCACATCATCAGTCAGTGCCTCCTATAGTTACAGCATGAAGCCTGTCAAATCATCAGTCAGTGCCATCAATAGTTACAGCATGAAGCCTGTCACATCATCAATCAGTGCCTCCTATAGTTACAGCATGAAGCCTGTCACATCATCAGTCAATGCCTCCTGTAGTGACAGCATGAAGCCTGTCACATCATCAGTCAGTGACTCCTATTGTTACAGCATGAAGTCTGTCACATCATCAGTAAGTGCCATCAATAGTTACAGCATGAAGCCTGTCACATCATCAGTCAATGCCACCAATAGTTACAGCATGAAGCCTGTCACATCATCAGTCAGTGACTCCTATTGTTACAGCATGAAGTCTGTCACATCATCAGTCAATGCCTCCTATAGTTACAGCATGAAGCCTGTCACATCATCAGTCAGTGACTCCTATTGTTACAGCATGAAGTCTGTCACATCATCAGTCAATGCCATCAATAGTTACAGCATGAAGCCTGTCACATCATCATTCACTGCCTCCTATTGTTACAGCCTGAAGCCTGTCACATCATCAGTCAGTGCCTCCTATAGTTACAGCATGAAGCCTGTCACATCATCAATCAGTGCCACCTACAGTTACAGCATGAAGCCTGTCACATCATCAGTCAGTGCCACCTATAGTTACAACATGAAGCATGCAGCACGAAGCCTGTTACATTCACACATAGTGCCCAAAGTTATTATTAAATTAGCAGTATGTAATCTTGATCGAAACGACTGATTCACCCGTGAGAAACGCGTAATGTCCAAGGTGATTTATCTCCTAAGTGACCTCACTGCTGCTGTTCCGCGGTTGTAGTTATCTCGCACAGATTACCAATAGCGGCCATGAGATCAGACAGAGACGTTCTTTCGAAGACCACCTCTTTCTCCTGGTATGGAAGTGTGGTTGGTTCACTTGCTACTTGGATCATTCGTGAGGTAAGTATCTTATCTATGTTGAGAAATTCGGCCGGTGAGCATAGGTTCTTCACACGTTCACTGTACTCCATAACCTCTTGCCTCCTTCTCTCAGTAACCCGCAACTGGTCCTGAAGGCCCTTTAGTTCTTTCAGAGTCTCGTCCTTTATTTTGTTGGTTGCGTTCACCAGCACCGCTTTTCTTGCAAGGACCTTCTCTTCAAGGGAAGAGAAAAGGTTGTGAATATCACTCTCAATATTCCGTTTCGACTCTTTAACCCTTTCCTCGTGCGCGTTGAGACGGGTGATTCTGTCCTCCATTCTACTGATGTTTACAGCGAGTCTGGCATTGTGTTTCATGATGTCCTGGCGAGCTGGTTCATACAGACTTTTTATTGGCCCCAAGTCGTGGCCGTTGTGATGTACTGACGCGCAGGTGCTACACATGGCAACCATACACGTCTTGGAACAGCAGAACAGGTGTTGCCTAAGTCCATGTTGTGGACAAAGCTTGTCCTCCTTCAATACCTGGTGGTTCTTATCAGTAAGCTCCGACAAGCATTTCAACTCGTGGGTTATGGTTACAGCAAACTTAGCATGGTAGGACTTGCATGTGTCACACATGTTGCACCTGCAGTCCAGACATCGGTACGTCGCTGTGCCATCATGGCGGCAGTCATCGCACTTCAAACCACTCAGTTCCATCGCATCCTCCATCTCCAACACTTTCATGATGGCGTAGTCTAGAGGTGCAGCTTGCTCTGTCAAAGGAGTCCGACAGACGGGGCACCAAATACCGGACGATTCATCGGCGTGTAGAGTTGTGTTCAAGCACTCGGAACACACTGAGTGTAGGCAGCCCAGCAACCGTGGTGTTTGTCCTCGTAGGTTGAACAGCCTCCGACATGATGAACAGTGCATCTCATCAGGCTCAGTGGATGTTGGAACAAGCTGTTTCACGAGTGTCATGGACTGTTCTGGATTGGATGACCTTTCTGATAGACTGTCATCAGTATCTGCTGTAGCCGCCATCACGCTGAAATGGGATACGTAGATGTGTTCAAACGTGTAATAAGTGGTAATCTCATTAGTGGTAGTAGTAATAGTATTATTAGTAGTAGTGTTGTAGTGGTGAGAGTAGTTGTGGTAGTCGTATTGGTAGCAGTCGAAGTAAGTGTTCAAAAGTTTTAGTTGTGGTAGTCTTACTAGTTGTGGTAGTAGTAGTAGAAAATAATAATAATAATAATAATAATAATAATAATAATAATAGTAGCTACCTACTGGTCACCCGCTGACAATTGTATTCGACTGACTAGTTATTACAAAAGTGTGAATGAATCTGAATTCATATTATTATCTTCACCATCGACATCTGAAGAAGAAAAAACATCTGAGGCGGAAGAGACGGTTGTCGTAGAATTCTACTTGTCAATGAATGTAGTGGCTCAATTTTCGCGGGGTACGTGTACCATGGTAGTTTAGGTCATGGAGTTGCGTCCCTTAGCTGTGCCAGGATCAGTAGATCTTGGGTTCGAAACCAAAATTCATCTAGATTATGATGTGGGTATGATATGTCAAAGCATTCTCTATATAATGGTAAGAGGTCCCGTCACCCTGAAGCGATGACATGAGGATCGTGTCTGCACACTGCTCAAATCACTACATAGGACGGCGGGATAGCCTTGTTGTTTAAGTATTCACTCGCCACGCCCGAGGCCCGGGCTCGATTCCCCACATGGGTACAGTGGGTGAAGCCCATGCCTGGGGTCCCCCGCCATTGCTGGAATAGTGCAAACAGCGGTGTAAAACTATACTCACTCACTCAATCAGTAGATCATATGTTCGGCAACAACGTGTAGATATAATAATATTATTTACCAAGCGTTCTAAATCTTAACTTACTTCAGAAAGAGTGAAATACTTTACAAAAGTCCGAGGATCATCCACTATAGCTTCCCAGGGGCGTTTACAATCATTACCCGTTGATAACGGAATGTGACATGTGATACCGTATCATTCAGATTCCCTCGGTCATTTCCGTCGACATGACCTTAGCAGACATTTAACAGGGCTCCGTTCCTCAAAGTGATATTAGCCATACGACTGTCGTAACTCAGTGTTGAGTATTGAAACTATGATCGTCGTTGTCTTAGTTGAGACCTTCAGAATAGTTGAGAACGCGCTTTTATTTGAGACCGTCAGAGTAGCTGAGAACGTGGTTTTAGTTGAGACCGTCTGACTAGTCGAGAACGTGGTTTTAGTTGAGACCGTCTGACTAGTCGAGAACGTGGTTTTAGTTGAGACCGTCTGACTAGTCGAGAACGTGGATGAAACAGGAACTACGCCACAATATCAATGTCACACGGGAAAATGTCCTAGCACGCCGCTGACGTCAACCAGATGTCCATATTAGTGTTTTGTGATGCCACAGGTATCAAATGGCGTTCATGTACAGGTTTAGGTTAACGTACGAGGGGTATTCATTAAAGATTTCCCCTGACCCACTTCCGATGGAGCTAGTGGAATGAAACTTGACATAGGTATTAGTCTTTCTCCACATAGGAACCACCAAGAGTTACACCTTTCTCCCATCGTTTTATGCAACTATGGAGACCTCGCTTGTAAAAGCCCTCATTTTGCGTCTCAAACCAGGACTTGACTTCAGAAATCAGTGTTTCATCATATGTGAAACGTTTTACCTTAAAAAATGACTTCATGGTTGGAAAGAGGTGGAAGTCAAAAGGTGCAAGGTCAGGAGAGTAAGGAGGATGTGGAAGGATTTCATAGCCACAGGACCGCGCTTCTGTCTGGGCAACATGAGAGTTGTGTACTGGAGCATTGTCTTGCAGGAGATGGACACCCTTGGTCAGCATGCCTCGCCTCTTAAGCTTGATAGCGTCCCGCAATTTCCACAGCAGTGAAGCATAATAAGCTCCTGCAATTGTGGTACCCTTTGCCAAGAAATCCATCATCACTACTCCGTGCTGGTCCCAAAACACCGTGAGCATGACCTTGCCTTCAGATGGTTGGACACGTGCCTTCTTTGGGGGTGGTGACTCCACATGCTTCCATTGCATCGACTGAACTTTAGTCTCAGGATCATAGTGATGGACCCATGTTTCATCCTGTGTAATAAGTCTGTCAAAAAAGTTTGCCTTGTTTTTTTGGCACATGTCAAAAAGATCCTTTGAGCAATTGACTCGTTCCTGCTTTTGGAAAGGTGTGAGCAACCTGGGAATCCATCGTGCAGGCACCTTACGCATGTTCAAATTGTCATGGATGATTTTTTCCACAGACCCTACACTGATCTTGACATCTTGTGCTAACTGGCGAACAGTTATACGTTGGTCTGCCAAAATCGCGGTCTCCACTTGATGGATAGTGTCCTCATCAATGGCTGAATGGAGGCGACCAGGAATGGCAGCTGTTTCCACAGAGGTCCGACCACACTTGAACTGGCGATGCCAGGGTTTAACAACGTCATATGATGGGGCATCTTCCCCATAAGTTGCTTTCATGTCATCGAAAGTTTCTTTTGGTGTGCGACCTTTCAAATATAAAAACCTAATCACTGCTCGGTATTCTACTGGCTCCATTGTCACACCCTACTCGATCATAACACCTGTCAAAGTAGTAAGATTAATAGTTCGGTGCTGCAAATTCAGACATAACCCATAGATACATGTATCATTACACATGTGAAATCTCAACCAAATATGATAACCCTAAGTGGTTTAGGGGAAATCTTTAATGAACACCCCTCGTATGTCTTCATCTTTTAGGAGGAACAAATGTTTTTATTCCATAATTATTAACGACATTTGATTGCGTTCTGCGCGAAACGATTTTTAAAGGTACAATTTGTTTATTTTCTGATAAAAAGGAGTAACACGATTTCTATGCACATGTACCGGGATGAATTTGTCTTCTGGAAATAAAGTCGTTAGTTTCTACAAAGTATCCAACATGCCGACCAATGACTAGACGGGGATGCCGACCAATGACTAGACAGGGATGCCGACCAATGACTAGACAGGGATGCCGACCAATGACTAGACAGGGATACCGACCAATGACTAGACAGGAATGCCGACCAATGACTAGACAGGGATGCCGACCAATAACTAGACAGGGATTCAACCGCGCTTCGCATGCACGTTAACAGTTTCCTATTTGTCAACAGCTGTATCAAATGCTATTTTGTAGAGACAGAATAATTCTTCACCAACTTATTAATAAGGATAGGCTTCAAATTCGCCTTTGGGTTATAGTTGTCCATCATGTACTGTGAACTAGTGAACAAGAAACGACAAAACAAGATGGGAATTCTCATATGGATTCCTCCAATTAAAACCTGAGATGCTCTTGTTCGGTAGCAGGTGAGCCGAAAGTGTACTTTATCAGCACGTGAACTGTGGATTGTATCTGCTGTGATTACAAATCAGACTTTGATATTTGATAATAAATTAATCAGGTTCTTTCGTTTGCGAACCTATATTATCAACCAGCAACTAGGCCACATTGACATCTAAAGTTGATAACTGTATACCATTCCCGTTAGCCCCAGAGTGCATAGAGTCTAGTCCTGTGGTTGTACTGTCCGACATGATGTTGTTGCTAATTCAGCAGAAAATAGGGTTCGCGGATGAAGGTACAATATTTAGGTGCAATACCTAATAGTTTCCACATGACTTTTAATTTCGCTGAGAGTGCTAGATTTATTCTTACAATTGTCAAAGGTTTTATTTTGCAAAATGATAAAAACCAAAATATGTAAGTGTTGAAATTGTGTATTTTTTCGTAAGACCATAAACATGTATTTGATACATTTCGTAACCAACTGGTGTCATTCCGGGACAAGCCAAATAGAGACGGTTGCCATAATGGCGAAAGAACACGAGAAAATCAAAGCAAGAACGATAACTCTTATTCTACCCGTAGGCGGTACCAGCAGTGCTCGCTTATTCCTGCTGTGAAAGTATTGAACCTCAATGATATAAATATATCCTCTTGTAAAAATGTATATTTGGAAGCAATTCAACTTATTCATTCTTAGCTTTTCATCGTTTATTGCAAATTATTCTTTCTTTTTTAAAGTAAGATATAAAAATTGGATGAAAAAAACCCAGACGAAGGTGTTTTTTGGTTCAAATTTGTTTTTGAATTTCTTATACAATTTTGAGTTTGTCTTTTCCTTGCTTGAAGAGGCAATTAAAAATTTATTTATTTCATGAATTAATTTGTCCTTCACGAATGAGTTGGGTTTAACGACCTGTCAGCTTAATGTGGGAGGAAAGCCAAAAGTGATGCAGGTCTCGGACGTTTACCACTTCGGCGAAACCTACGAACACGGGTATGGTGCTGACAAACCTAGAAACATAATCGGGGCGAACCGGGATTCGAACCCCCACAATCATAGGTTTCTGGCGTGCCCAAGGGACGCAACTATGCACGGCGAATCGCGGCGCCTTAGACGACTAGGCCACCCGTGCCCCCTTCACCTCACCCTTGTCAACAGGGTCAACAAAAAGTCAACACAGTTTCTATGTGTTCACAACATTAACAACCTTATTAAGGAATTCCATATTCACATAATTTCTAGGGTATTCTAGTATTTCTAAATATATACCAACAACATCACATGACCATTATAATGTTAAAGTAGCCTATGCCTGAAAGAGGTGACTTAATGGAGCGGATTGTCAGGAAGAATTTCAAAATAATTCATTCGTTTGAATCTCATATATCGTTGCGTGTATGATTTATGGTATACTAACCATCATATAGTTATGAATGTTATTCTGGTTAACAATCTTTATTTTGCTCCAGTGATCTCTTGTTTAATGTAATAAACTTACGTGACACAAGTCGGACGAAACACCTAGGCGTGTGTGTGTATGGGTAACGTACAGAACCAGAAAATCACCCAAAATATGTAATAGCATTTAAATCCGCTTCATATATATTTTACTTACCGAAATAAATAATCGTACCATTATTCTGACGTGCATTCTGATTGCCTTGCACCGTTTCGACTGATGGTGGCCACCCAGGGGGGGATGAGCATTATTGCAGGTTAAGGAAAGATGCGAGTGGTGACGAATTATTAATGTACATGTATGTTAATACACTCCATACTCATTTATTGATGTGAACGAACAAACGTGACGTCACATTTGTCTGCTTGCGCAGCTTTTCCTGAGGCAAACCCTTCGTGATATTCCGTCAATACTCATTGTGTCGAGTAAGCTACTCGGAACGACATGCCACCAGAAATACGGCTACACACTACACACTCATGGCTCCACAGGCTGTTAATTTCTGTTTTAATAGTTTAGTTCTTGTCGGCTTATCCTGTTATCATATTATGCACTATTTACAGAATTCATTTATCCCCATCTTCTACATATTTACAGAGGGGGGATTAAATATAATTATACACATAAAAAAGAGGAAACTATTTTCATCATTTCTTTAAAATCTTATTTTGCATAAACGTTCAACACAAGCAGGTCCAGCACTTCATTCAATGATACTCTCACAGGTACATTAACGTTCAACACAAGCATGTCCAGCACTTCATTCAATGATACACTCACATGTACATTAACGTTCAACACAAGCAGGTCCAGCACTTCATTCAATGATACACTCACAGGTACATTAACGTTCAACACAAGCAGGTCCAGCACTTCATTCAATGATACTCTCACAGGTACACTAACGTTCAACACAAGCAGGTCGAGCACTTCATTCAATGATACACTCACAGGTACACTAACGTTTAACACAAGCAGGTCCAGCATTTCATTCAATGATACACTCACAGGTCCATCAACGTTCAACACAAGCAGGTCCAGCACTTCATTCAATGATACACTCACAGGTACACTAACGTTCAACACAAGCATGTCCAGCACTTCATTCAAAGATAGACTCACAGGTACATTAACGTTCAACACAAGCAGGTCCATCACTTCATTCA